ATATATATATATATATATATATATATATATATATATATATATATATACAGTAACATTTTCAAGGTGACTTTATTGTCATTCGCATGACATGTGGTACATGAGGTGGAACGAAATTGTGTATTCAAGGTTCCAGTTCCGCTCAAAAATAGCAAAAATATAAAGTATAAAAAGAAACGGTATACAAGGATCTAAGATATCCAAATATTTTAAGTAATAGAATAATTTAAGTAATAGTCAATATGGGTTTAGAGCAAATAATTCAACATCAATGGTTCTCATGGAACTAATAGAAGAGATAACTGCAGTTGATCAAAAACAGTACAGTGTTAGCGTTTCTGTCGATTTAAAAAAGGCCTTCGACACTACTGACCACACCATTCTCCTTGAAAAACTGAATAAATATGGCATTAGAGGGTTAGCATTACAGTGGGTATCCAGTTATTTGAATAATAGGAGACAGTTTGTACAGGTAAACGATGCAAGATCAGAATTTTGTGTTAATGGATTTGGAGTCCCTCAAGGCTCTGTGTTGGGACAAAAGTTGTTTATTTTGTATGTGATGATCTGGTTGATGTGTCAGGGCTTTTGAAGTGTGTTTTATTTGCAGATGATACCACATTTTTTTGTTCGAGTGAAGATATTGAACGGATGTTAAAGATGACACATGCAGAATTCGTAAAAATACAAACTTGGTTCTAACTTAATAAGTTATCATTAAATTTGGAAAAAACAAACTACATGATATTTAGTAATTTAGAAAAAAAATTATTGAAGTCCCATTTAAAATTGACAATAGTGAAATTCATAGAGTTGATGAAATAACATTTTGGGGTGTCATTATTGATGAGAAGCTGACACGGAAATCTCATGTAAATTACTTAAGAATAAAAATAGCTAAATCAATTGCATTACTGTATAAAGTAAAATAGTTTTTAAATGACTAAGCTTTGTATATATTGTATAATGTAATGATTGTTCCATATTTAATCTACTGTTTTGCAGTTTGGAGAAAAGCATACAAAACAATTACAAACCCAATTTTTAGTTTACAAAAAAGAACTATAAGAATTATTAGTAGGAAGTGCTATGGTCACCCAACAAATATATTATTTCATCAATTGAAATTATTAAAATTTTATGATTTGGTTGAATATAGTATTTTCCAAGTCATGTATAAAGCTCATAAAAATATTACCCCCAAATATTAAATTAAAATTTGTTTAAAATGAGTCATTATATAATTAAGGGAATGGAAATGTTTGTAAAACCTCCATTTAGAACTAGTCTGAAGGAGCTGTGTTGTAAATCCGGGAATAGGATTGTGGAATTACCTTGATATCACCATAAAAATTTCTAAAACAATTTATATGTTTAAAAAGATTATTAAGTTAAAATGGTTAGGAAAGTACTTTGTGAAGAATGCCTGATGTTATTTGTTTTCGCTTTGGGGATTGTTCAAGCCCAAGTTGTTGTTTGTAGTTATTTTATTTTATTTTTAATTAAGGGTCAGATATAATATATTTTTTTCTTCTTTCTGCACCCTTTTCATTAATTGTGTTTTTCTTTTTGACATTTTTTTCCCCATTTAAATTAATAAATAAATAAATGAATATATGATCAAAATAATAATATTGTATTAAAAAATAATAATATTAATAATAATATTATTAAATTGTATTATTAATAGTGTATTAAACAGCGAAGTGAGTTTGGATAATTTATGTCTGTCTTTAGAAGAAAAATACCAGTTATGTTTGGTGAGAATAAGTACGCATAGTAAAATACTTTAAGAGCCTGATGACAATAACTGTCCTATGAAATAACATTCTGTAATTTAAGGGATGTCCAAGACATAAATAAGATGTGAAAAAATGGACAAAGATATAATCTGCATTTAAGTCGAGTGGAATTTAGTGCTTTTTATTCAAGGCAAACAGCATCTGGTTATATGTTATTGTGTTTTACTGAGTTAACGTAACTACAGAAACTTCTGTTCACAAGATTTATTACATTTTTAGCTCATTTTATTTGATTGATGTTTAAAGCCAGGCAGATCCTTACCATGTTTTTGAGCTGAGAGTTCCCAGACTGCAGCGCCTGACGGACGCTCTGAGACAGCAGGATCTCGTGTCTTAATCTCTGCTTACCGAAGGCCACGGCTCCGCTGGTGACGATCACCATCTCCCTGCCCAGACTCTGCAGCATGGCCACCTGGACAACAACGCGACGACTTGAAATGGAAACACGATGATTGAAGCAAAGAAATAGTACATTTAATCTACAGATCAGCACAACCTGTGGACTGCGTCAACAAAATGAAGGGGGTGTGTGTTATAAGACAGTAAAAACGTGAAACTTGTACTATCATCTTTGAGATATTCCAATCAAACGTTACTTCAGTAAACTCAAGTCCGAACCTGCTCAACGATAGAAGCCAGCCTCCCCAGAGCCAAACCACATTCATCGCCACGGGTGACCACGGCACTACCAAGTTTAACCACGATCCTCTTGGCATGGTGCAGCTCACCCCGATGTGCAAAGGAGCTGCCGTGGACTTTAAACTGAGGAGCTGGAAAGAAAAGGGACATTAAGTTTTACAGATTAAAATCAACCTAAATTGTTTAGTTTGTCAAAATAATAGGTTAAATGTAAATTATCCATCATTTTTTTGTTATAGCTGCTCAACGATAAGATAAGATGGGGTGTGTCAGAGCAGAGGAGGGAACGAGAGCACAAATTAATCCCAAAATTTGGCTCTGATTGCTGAGCGAGCAAAAGATGATCCAGGATGTAGCTAACAGTTCCAGCTACATGTCTGAGTGCAGGATGAATGTGTTAAACTGTCAGAAAATTCATGTTTATTTTTTATTTTTAGTCTTGTTCCGTCGTATATATCATTTATTAAAAAAATCATTAGATTAAAACCAGACAAAAACAACTTATCTTAACATAATAGTACTTTAACATATTTGTTAGTTTGTTGGTTCATTGAGCTACACGAATGAGACAATGCGAGTGAAAAACTCTGGTCTGAATCCGCTTGTAACCTGGAAAACAGATAATCATAGCCTTCAAACTGCCACATCAGCAGGACAGGCAGAAAAAAGCCTTTGCTGACATTACTAATCTTTCTGGAGCCATGAGCGAGGGTGACAGAGGGAGAAACCCATGACATGTTTTATAAACCAGAGTGGGTCAGAAACCTCCCTGCAGGCACAAAACCTCAACAGTAATTAAACATCTGTGTATCTGGAATTCAACACTTGAGTCATGACATCTATGTTAACTCTTACTGACATCATCCATAACACACAGTGATTTATTTATATCCTTTATTGTTTTTGACAAAAAGAAGCCTTTTTTATAAGATCAGCAAAGAAGAAGTGCAACAACAACTTTAATGTAACTGACCAATAGTTTAGTTAACGCCAACTTACCCTGAACAAATGATGAATATTCCTTTTGGTAACATTTTATTTACTGCAAATTGTTTTGAGAAAGCCTCAAAATGTTTGAAATAACCATTACTACTTATTGCTCAGACAACTCATGGTGATATCTTTAAAATGTCCCTTATGCCCAACACCCAAATGACACTGAAAAATCCTAAAATACTAAGAAAATATAATTTGAGATTTGTCTTCTTTTTAAGTATATGTGTGTGTGTGTGTGTGTGTGTGTGTGTTGCTGAAGTGCTGCTTGCCTTGTGTCAGTGGTCTGGTGAGGAACTGGAGGATGTGTCTCTGAGATCCAGGTGGGACTGATGAGCACAGAATCAGCCTTTGCAGCAGCATGGTCAGTTTTCCTTTAAAAAATGAGAAACAGAAATAAAAAACGGTGAAATAAGGGGTTTTCAAAACAATTAAAACCCGGTTTATTCGGCAACAAGACATGTAGGCTAAAGCTAACAAGAAACGAACTTTAGTGCCGCAGCCAAACTTCAAAGACCCGACTTGTCCGATAATGGATCAAAAGCAGATGAATGAAAGTTCTTACTTATTCTCCTGAAGTTTCAGAATTGGTTTTATTTTACATCTGTCCTGAGTAAAGTCTTCTATGACGTCTTCATTATTTTTTTTTTGCTTTTCTATTACTTCTTTCAAACTGTGAGCAGCAGAGGTTGGCTCCACGTGCCAACAAGACCTCCCTTCGAAATAAGAGCTGGTGCTGATGCAGTCAAAACAAAGTTCAAGAGAAATTTAACTGTTTCTGTAAATTAACTCATATTTTACACAAATAGAGGAAATTCACAGTTACAAATAATGTTCAAGTAATAATTAATTAAAAAAATTATTTTAAATGTTTGTATTTGGCGATGAAGTGGCAGGATGTGACGTCATACGAACCGGCTAAATGCGGAAACAGACCGGAAAATTAAAAAAACAACATATATTTCAAATTAAAATATCACCATATTATTTTTAAACGTCGCTCTTTTTGTTGTTTTTCATCAGGTTTTCTTAGATACCAAAAAATACAAAAAGACACATCAACCATAGAACAAATATTTCATAAAACACAACGTTCTAAACATTTTTCTTGAGTTTAGTTTAATTTATTTTACAATTTATTCATTTTATTTTATTTTATGCTGTGATGTCTTTTTGTTAAGCACTATGAAACAGTTTCGGTTTAATAAATCTGACTTGACTTACTAAGTTTGGTTATTTGTCCCATTATCTGGAATGTTTTTACATTTCCTGTTTCATTACTGTATTCTATGCATGCTTCATTTTATTTAGCAGACTCACTAAAATACATATACTGTATTGTAAAGGCAAAACTTGTAAATTAAGGATCTGCAGTAAAACAGCCATAATTGAGCCAAAAACTTCTAGGACATCCACATAAATAAGTTGGATGATCAGATTTTTACAAATCATACACTCAGGATCTCAGTTGCATAGTGACATAAAAGATAAACATCTGCTTCAAAGCTATAACTGTCATGAAAGCTTTATATTAATGCATTTAAAAATAATTAATTAATTTTGTCTGACTTATTCAGTATGTTTTTTTCAGTTGTTGTTTTGCATGGTTAAATATTTACTTCACAATATGGCCTTTCAAAGTGAGAAGCTGTGTAAAATTTCAGAAAAAGGAACATATAAAAATGTTCCATTATCAATTTTACCAACTACATTTCCTGCTTTATTGGAATTATTTTGCATGAGTGTTGAAAGCAGCAGCATCAAATATTTTTAGTCGTTTAAGTTTTGTTTATCACTTATCAGTAACAAATACAGCATCTGTGTCTTACATCACTTTTCCTGTGTCTGTTTACACGTGTCTCACGTTTACTCTCAGTTAATGAAGTGAAACAAACAGGAAGTCAGAAACGTGGGGTCCATCTCCATTAGCTCCTTTTGCAACTGGTCATCTTTCATTGACTCAGCATAGGGGGTAAAAAGATTCTAAATGATCAAAGTTTTTGGACGTATACCTGCACCATCCTGCTGTGGCCAAATGAAAAGTAACTCAAAGTGGAGTTCACTAATGCCACTGAACCCCCACTGCCCCCAGGACCATAGATAACTAAATTGGCTCCAGGAGCTCTGGTTAAATGTGTGTTATTCCATTATATCGCTTCTGTGTTTTTCTCTCTTCCCTGCTTTTACCTTTTATCTGTTCTTCTGTGATCCTCTTTGCTCTTTTATCTGTTTATCTGACTCAGGGGAAGGAACTGTCCCTTACCTTTCTCCTGCCTCCTCTAATCCACTGACTGTTGGTTTACGAGGGTTCGCATGTAAGCGTGCACATCATCATGCTGCATCTGCACAAAATTTAGGGAACATCAGTTTGTTTTGATTCATTTATGTTAAGGTCTTTTCCTTTTCTTTCAAACAGATTTATTTTTCTCGTGACATGCAGTTTTATTCCTCTTTGTATGCTAATCATCAAAAGTTAGTGTAAAATATCATAAATGTTTGTAATGGCAATAAATTTAACACCACGTCTCATGAAGCATTTCAAAGAAGAAGTTTGGTTTATTTCTGACTTTTGTTCTTTTGAAGGACTCACAGAGTTAATAATAGGTTTAAGATAAAAAAAACTTTGCATAAAATACATCTAAAAGAGCTTAAGAAGGAAAAGAATGTATTAAATGTATGTTGTAGTGAGTTTTTTTTCCTTCGACTGATTGGTCCCATGAGGTGAGTTTCTAACTGTGCAGGTGGTGCTGCAGGGACACATCCTAATGACGTCCCCGTACTCAACCTATACGAGTTAAAACTAGCCAGTTACCCTGGAAATAAGTGTAAAAGATCAGTGGCTGTGTGTGAAAAAGTTATGACAAAAACAAACTTCACAGAGAAGTTGAGGTCAGAGGCAAACATAAAAGCAGCAGCAATAAAAAAAAGTGAGTATAAAGAAGATTTGTGAGAAAACATAAAGAATCAACGAGCTGCTTTTTGGTTAAAAATGTCTGAATGCTTACATTTCAATAAGAGGATCTTTTTCAGATTCCAGAAAAAAAAAAAAAAAAGCACAGCACATGAAACAATACTTTTTACAGGTATGACATTTACTAACATGCTGACATGGATTTTTACATTTTGGTTTTAGTTGACCATTGTTCCAAAACTTCACCTCAAGATAAAGATGGTAAATTAAACAACATGAGTATAATATACAGTTGTAAACTTGATAGACAAATATCATCAATTATGACTTTTGTGCACAATGATTGATGCAAAATGCATAATTGGAAAATGACATGCAGTTCAACTCAACGGACGAAGCTGCATTTTTTGGTTATCTGGTTTTTGTTATTTAAAAAGTTAAACAACTGAATACGGCAGGAAATAGAGCTTGACCTATTCTCTCATATAAAATCAATATTTTACTGAGATCTGCATCATGACTCATGCGGACTCGTGTTTGTTTAAAGAGACATTAATTTCCACTTAAGAAACATGTTCATATAAGTACATAATATAATAAAAATGTACTCATTATTGTAATGTCAAGAAGACTGGTCCAAAAACAAACAAACAAAAAAACATATAGTAAGAAATATTTTTCCCCTCACATTGATAGTTTGTGTCTTTACGTTAAAAATTTTATGCAAAATTTGTGAACAATTACCAATTACTATGTGTGTTTGTTTACAAAAAACAGCCGAAGCAGCTGAAAATAGGTTCACAATGGTGATGTTTCCAGATGAGTTGTTTGGGAGATGTCCAACTATTCTTATTCTTACTATTCGTATATTTATTCTCAGATTTGTTGAGTAAATAGTGCAGATAAAGTTGTGTTTACATTGAATGTGTACCTGCATTTAAGAGTTGCAAATCTGGAAAACTACTGAAGTCAACTTTTTCAGTACCTTTAAATTCAAACATTAGATTAAATTTAAAGGCCTTGACGGCTACAATTTAATTTGTGATTTAAGCTGTGATGACGAAGTTAAATGAAAAATGCAAAAATAGATAGCAACAAAGTATTTATGGTATTAAAAACCGTTAGGGTTTTTTAGCATATATTTATTAGAGAGTAAGATCAGACTTTTATTTTCTTAATAGTTTTATTTTTGTTGACATTTCGATCTAAAAAATGAAAATTGCGTTATTAACTTTGTTAAAAAAAAAAAAACTACAGTTCTTAACAAAGCATATGTTTTTCCCTTTTTTTATTCACAAGTGATAATTTATTGCAGTATTTACTGTACATCTTAAAAATTACAAATAAAAAAAACACAAATACATGAGTTTTACTTTGTTTCCTGTGCTACTGCTCACCATCTCACATGTCCACCTTTCCAAACAAACATCACTATCCAGTAAAATGTCTCATAAAGATGGAGAATAATCTGTCTGAGAGATATCCCTGTTTTGAGTGAAGGACCTGAAAGACCATAAGAGGAGTCCATTACTGGGTCTCGTGTTGGAGGAAGGCCCCTGATCTGATGGTATCAGCGCCGCAGGGTGAGCGAACCGTGCAAGTGAGGAGAACAAATGGCAGCATGGGCTGAAAAACAAGGATCACTATCTCAGTGAGAGTAGCCCAGAGCGCATAAACACAGATATATAAGTCAACTCAACGGGCAGCGGTGCACCTGAAGACAGACCACCTGAAGCACATAGAAGCACCTGAATGATGGAAGAAAAGGGAGAAAAGAACGGTGTGGCAGCTATAGCAGCCTGCTACCAAAAGTTTGATCCTGTAGCGTATCTGCAGTACAACTACACCCCTCCACGAGCTGACTTTACAAGAAAAGACAGCATAGTTCCCTGGAAACTGGCCTGCCTGCACAGAGCTCTCACTGAAGGTAAGGAGAAAGGGTAAAACTGTTTGAAACTTGGAGCTTTCATTTTTGTTGGGGGGGAATAATTTAGAATAGTCAGTTTAAAATAAAATAAAAGTATACAGAATGTTTAATTGATCAAAAGAGAAATTTCTGACCCTTCGTTCACTAAATTAAACGTGTCTGGAGCTGCAATATCTGCTTATCAACTGGTGGTCCATGGGCTTCTTTTAGATGGTGGCTCTTCTGGCCAATTGGGGTGATGTTATAATGAATTTTGACATTTATTGATATTGTTACATTTTAGGTCAAAAGGACAGACAAAAAAGGGTGGGTGTGGTGGGGGGGGGGGGGGGGGGGGTCACCAACAATCTGCAGGCTTAAGTCTGTTTCTCTGAATTAAAATTAAGTATACCATTTTGAGGCAAAAAAAAAAAAAAAAAAAAACTTTTAGTGTGCATAAAATAGACATTTTGAAGGGTATAATTATGAATTACTGAAATTTTTAGATTATTGTTCGTTTTTGGGAAATTGCAGCAAATATGAAATAGTTTGGTTTTTATTAGTACTATTATTTTATTGGTATTTTACTGCAAATTTTATCATATTTTTAATTTTTTATTAAACTCAATTTTATTTATTTTGTCAGATTTTTATATACGATGCTGTAATTCTTGTGAAGCACTTGGGTCGACTGTGGTTGTTTTTAAATGTGCTATATAAATAAACTTTGAATTGAAATGAATTATTATTATTATGTTTTTGAGAGAAAGATGCCACTGTAAACCAGGAGTTTGGATAAATGAAGCAGCTAAATGTATGTATCCTTCACATATTTACAGAAAATTGACAGAAAAACTGTTAAAACTAGCCTTTTCTGTTGTGGGTTTAAATAAACAGTAAAATGAAATATCACATCAGTTAGTCAAAGCTTCAAAGGGCCACAGAACAAAGACTAAAGAGCCACTTGTGGCCCCAGAGCCACAGATTGCAGACCCCTGAATCAGTGATTTGGTGCAAAGTCAAGATTTTAGAGCCCATAAATCACATTCAATTATTAAAAGTGTTCTTTGTCCAAAATATTGTTCTCGTATTGATATTTCAGATCCATCATCATGTTTTATTGTCAGCTAACAGATACAGCCAGTTCAGAAAAGTTTCTGTCTAAAGTTACAGGGAAAAAACTGTGTCTCCTAATTGGAACAGATTTTAATCATCAATAGTCTATATGAACACATCTGACTTATTTATAACAGCATGGATTTTAATTGTTGTAGTTGCAGCAGTACACCGATTTTGCTCAAGAATTTTAATTTAAGGACACATTAGTTATTGATGGGAAAAAAAAGTTGTGGATTTAATTTCTTATTTTTTACAATTCTATTTTTTACCAGCCTTCACAACATCACAGTGAGCGCATTCAAAAACTTTGGTTTGTTCTTCTTCTTTTCTCCTTGGTCTCTCCCAGGTGACGTGAGCGGTGAGCTCCTGGTGGACATCGGTTCGGGGCCCACCTTGTACCAGGTGATGAGTGGTTGTGAGGTCTTTAACAAAGTGATCCTGTCTGACTTCCTGGAGGTGAACCGGCAGGAGCTGAGGCGCTGGCTGCAGGATGAGGGAAAATGTAGTCTGGACTGGACACCGTACCTGGAGCACGTCTGCAAACTGGAGGGGCGACGGTAAAAACAAAACAAAAAGGATGATTTTAGACTATTTTGGGAACCTTGATTTTCAGGTTTTTATAATATGATAAAATAAATATGCATGTGCAGTAGTTGTTTGTTTATTCCCACCAGGTCCTCAGCTTGGCCAGAGAAAGCTGTAAAGCTTCGCCAGGTCATTGCAGACATCCTCCCCATTGACGTGCACTGCTCTCAGCCTTTGGCCCCCGACGCCCTTCCTTCAGCAGGGGCCGACTGTCTGGTTTCCTGCTTCTGCCTGGAGAGCGTCAGCCCTGACCTACCCGCCTTCACCAGGGCCCTGGGCAACATCCAGAAGCTCCTCCGGCCTGGGGGCCACCTGCTGCTCATTGGAGCCCTGGGGGAGAGTTATTATTTTGGGGGTCCCGGGGTACGAATCCCTGTGGTCCCACTGAACGAATCCCAGGTGTGCACAAGTCTGAAGGAGAGTGGTTACACCCTGATCCGGCTGGAGGTTTACACGCTGTCTCAGGACATGAGGGTAGGGGTTGATGACGTGACAGGAGTGTTTTTTGCAAAAGCAAAAAAGGAATAATTCGACGAATAGCAGAAACAATGAAAAAGTTGTTGCACATTTTACAATAATCTAAGTTATTTTTTGTCTTTTTTCAATCTTGGGCAACAGAAAACTCAGTTTGTTGCCTCCCTAGTGTTAAAACATGGTTAAAGACTGCCTCCTCCAGTTCAAACCCAGCTACTACAGGGCTCTACTGGTAAATATCACCACTGAACTCGTTCACTGAACCTCTTATAGCACACTCAGTGCATTTTAATAAGGCCTTTTAGGCAGCGATTGGTGTTCTGTGACATCGGTGTCTGCTCTGTCTCCTGCTTCAACAAATAAAAACAAATGAAACGTTCACAATGTTGTGTTCTGATTGTTCAGCATTTTACTGATATATTCAGTCTAATGCTGGTAAGACGCTAAAGAAAAACTGTATGTGCAATAAATAAATTATCATAATCATTGCATTAAACCATGCAGTGCATGACCTATTTTAACGATGATGTAATGCCTCCCTCTCTGTGTTTTGTGATCTTTTTTTGTTTTGTTTTTGAACACTAGGTGTCACCATGAGGACATGAAGGTTCCAGAAACACTAAAACAGGCTGATGGTAACCCTCATGTTCATATGGGGTCACCCCTCTTGAGTTGGCAAAATTAAATTTGAATATTTCTTTAGTAGGATCACATTCATGAGAGATTAGTGGTTCATATAAAGTCAGTTAAAACATAAATAGTGGTGTTTTGATTTATTAAATTGAACATAACCACTCTTGTTTCACTTGTACTGCAAAGCTGAATTATATTAAAATAATAAAAATAAATCGGGAGAATTATAATCCCAAACTGGTGTTTCAGCTTTCGTTGACTTTGCTAAACTATTTTTTATGTCCAATTAAAAAGTTTGGATTTTGATTTTGGATGATAATTTAAAGTCTTTTAAAATTTTAAATCATGGCCAAAAACATGTAAAATTTTAGGCTATTTAAAAATATTTGAAAACATAGTTAAAAGTACAAACATCTGTTAAAAAAATGTTGGTTTTAGTCACATGTTAACCCTTACATTATGACTAGATTAATATATTCTGACACCACTTCATCTGAACTGACACATAAACAAGTTTATGTTTTCTGTATTTCTATACAATGCAATAAAACTTTATTTATAAAGCGCTTCAAAGAACAACACCGTTGAGCAAAGCGCTGTACACTGATATCACATGAAAGCAAACAAAAAAACAATCAAATCAGTTGAAACAGTAAAAATAATGAACTGTTAAAATCATAAAACCAACATACAATAAAACCAGTAAAAAGCATTAAAGCCAACATCTCAAGCTGAGTAAAAAGCCGAGAAGAAAAAAACTATTGTGAATTACCCCCCAAAAAATAAATTCTGTTTATATTAAACCAGAAAAACAGGGTTGCATCATGATTAGTTGGATTAGTTTGATAAGAGAGATGAGATAAACTGTAATCCAGTTTCTCTTTTTGTCATCGATCTTGCAGAGAAACGTAAAACAACAGCTCTTGCAACAAATTTCATTATGGATGGTTTCATTCAGGGCTATTCAACTGAAGGTCCGGGGGCCAAATTAGGTCCATGGGTGAACTCAGCTCAGGCCCTCAATGGGTTCATTTTAAAATAAAACTAGATTTTAAACAATAAAACAAACTTACTTAATGAATCAGGTCATCTGGACAGACGTTTCGCCCTCTATCCAGAGGGCTTCATCAGTCTGAGAAGTCCCATGTAAACTGTTTCCTCACCAAGCAGTGCACTCCTTAAGTGGACCAACCAGTTTGCTGAAGATAAGATGTTTTCTGGGGGCCGTCCTGTCCCCCGTCAACTCCTCCCAGACAGGCAGCCACAGCCAAAGTGGTTCAAGGCATCAAAATTCATGCTCAATCATCCAGGTACCAAATGCAGTAATACTCACTCAGGTCATATGGACAGTGAGCAATGACTGAGTATTACTGGATTTGGTATCTGGATGATTGAGCATGAACTTTGATTACTTAACGAGAATAACTGCTGGATGTCCAGCCCCTGAGCTCTTGGCTTTCAGTAACTGTGGCCCTCTGAGCCACTTAGCTGAATAGCTTAAGGTTTCAGCGAAAACATAAGACTCCATGGGGCCCTAAGCGAAATTTGGTTTGGGACCCCCTATTTCTGCTAATAATGTGGATTACTGCAGTCAACAGTCAGATGATCAGATCATTCACCCACCTAACATAAACTCATTGTAACTCTTGACAGCCCTGTTTACTTTAGCTGTTTACTATATATATATATATATATATATATATATATATATATATATATATAT